ATTTTCAAGTTGAATGCATATAGCAACAAACATGTACCGAAACTTAAATGTAGCAACAAAAATTAAAATATGAGAAAAAGGAAATATCAAATGCTGATCGCACTTAAATAGTATTTGCTTGCTGAACATTAATGTAGGAGAATTTCATTGGAGAGTAAATCAAGTTTATACACACTTACTGTGCTGTATTTATGTAGGTACATATATGTATATTCAAAAGAAGAAAACCATTACCCTTGCAGGGAGTGACTTTAGCTTATACCTAACTTTAGTCTGTTTACGCGAATACTAGTACTAACTATTAACTGTATATTTTGTTCGAAAAAAGCTAACTACTTTTGTGGGGCGATGGCCGCAACATTTTTTTTAATTGTTTATTTAGTTTTATTTCTTTAAATTTTTTTTTAAATTAATTTATATTCAACATTGCATATTTGCTTACATATTCTGCAGTAGGCGGTCCTATATTGGAATTCCGTCAGACATAACATCAAAATGATAATATGAAATTTCATTCGTTCTGAATTCGAAAAAGAATTTGTGAAGTATAGAAAACAAATTTATTCAAAGTAGTTTTTGTATGAGGATCTCTAAATAGAAACTTTTAAGGAAAACAAACTTCCAATTACACCTGCATGACTTCTGCACGACTTTGCAACTCACTTTAAGTTGGTTTTGTTATAGTTAATTAAAAGTGTGGTATTTATTTAAAATCCCATCAAAAAGCTTACTATAAGTTGATTATTTTTAGCAGTTGATAATTTTTCACTGCAGGTTAGTTAGTGCTTCAAGATGTATTGCTCTTGATTCGCTTATTCTCGGTTGTTTTTTTTTTTGTTAATTCGAATGGTTTTTTTTTTAAATTCGGTGTTTTTTTATACTATTACTGACAAGAGGTACTCACTTTGCAAATTGCGATTTGAATATGGTTGAAGCAATGAAATTAAGCTTAGGTGGTTTCCAGTCGTCGTCTTTCATTGGTAAGTCTCGTTCGTTTTTTTTTTACTAACTCACCAACATCGATGTCGTTGGTATAAGACCTCTACTGTGCGTTTATGCAAAAAATGGCCTGTGTGGTATGCACACCGAGCGTTCGGTCCACCACAGTCGACTTACACAAGCGAGTGCATCAACAGACAGTTACACGTCTCAGCGTATACAAACCAACGGCACACATTTATTTGCCGTGCATAGAAAATCCCAGAACCTCATTGAGGAGGAGTTTTCTCACCCGCTCGCTCGAACTAAGAGTTTCTGTCTACCCTGGCTCAAACTCACAGACAAAATGCTACAAAATTATCCTTGAAAAATCCCTACAAGAAAATAATTTCTGAAAGGAACACTTGCAGATTCTGCCATACTCTTGGCTGCATGCTAGAGGATATAAATGCTGGGCCCGGTGTCATACAGAATTAAAAGACCTGCACACAGTCAAAACTACATCTAAGCTTATTGACAACTGCCAAACTCTATTGAACCAGCTAATCACGCGTAAAGGGGTGCCATTTTGGTGTTTATGAGAGTTTTTACGGCAATGAAAGGGCTGACGCTCTTGAAAAACGTAGATCCCAATTGAGATTATATGGTCCACTCCAGAGAGCGGTTATCGCTCCGTCCAGAATCTGGAACATTACAAACCCCTACGGTAATTCATTACATGGCATGGTGCTGGGAAATTGATTAGGTATTACAAAAAAAATATATTTGGGAAAAGCTAGCTACAATTTTTGTAACGACTGAGTTAAGAAAGCATTACCTTTATGTCTGGGAAAAATGAAGAGCAAAATATTTTCATTTTATAGGAAATTTAGATTTGCATACACAAACCAGAATTTTAGCACTCATCTAAAAGCTTTTTCTTGTAGATAGCACATTGCCGTTATAAATTAACTGAACTTTCACCTCTTCCATTATTAATTAAAATTTTGATTGCACACATAAATCTAAAAATATGGAATTTCATCGACTTTACTCAGAAACAGTCAATGCCAAAATTAATAAGCTCAGAAAAATTCTTGCACACACGTTTCGTCTCATACATACACTGCTGGAAGAAAGTATTCGCACTGCGAATTTTTTACAGTATATATATGCAACACTTTTACTCTATTATTTTTACGCAAATTTTTTATAAAAATATGGTTCCTTCTACAACAAAAAAGACACAAAGACGAAAATTCAATAAATTTTCATCCAAAATTTGCAGCGTTTTAATCCAATTTTTGAGAATTTTTTTGAGTATGCAGATTTGCTGCCCAATAAATTCTATTCTAATAAAGTGGAAGTTTGAAGCAGCTCCAACTTAGCGTTGATTTTTTCCAATTTTTTTCCAAGCAGTTTCTTCCATAAAAAAAAATTTCAAAAACATCGCGATGGTTTACTTACTCCAAACTTGCATTGCATAAATTTAATGGGTTTCAAAACTGCATACTCAAGAAAATTCCGAAAAATCTGATTAAAAAGCTGAAATTTTGCAGGCAAATTTATTTACTTTTCGCGAGTTTTGCACAAAGTTTAGAAATTTTTTGTAAAAAATTTGCGAAAAGTTATTAGAATAAAAATTATTGCATATATTGTGAAAAATTTGCTGTGCCTATACTTTTTTACAGCAGTGTATGCATGTATGTACATTCGCTTGTATGCATTTTTCCGTTGTAGTAGGAGTATGATTTTCCTGCGTCTTAAGTCATCTGCTTTTTCGACAGTCATACGAATGTTTATCGGAGCCTAAGAAAGCAGCTACATTTTTTCAGTAATAAAATTTTATAGCAATATGGTGTGTTGCTTTAATAAATACAATGGATTTAATTAACTTTACTGCGAGTGTGTCCGAAATATTAAGATTCATCATAAAATAGCGTTGATCGCTCACATTTGGCAGCATCAAGACCTGACATGTGCGTTGTGTTGGTTGAAGTAAAGTAAATAATAAAAAAAATACATAGATGCTTCTACTAAAAAAAAAAAACAAAATCGATTATGACTTGCAGCGTACGGCAATGCCACTTTTGTCGCCTTCTTCAACAACAGGCGCGTGAATTGAAGAAACACCTACGAAAAGGATTATTTGCCAGTAATGACAGACAGAACAATGGCGCCCCCATAAGCAGTCGGCAAGTAGGAAAATTGCCACCGCTCGCAGCATTTCGAATTCAAAAAAAAAAAATTGAATTGATGGCACGGGGCTTATGTTATTTACAACGTATTATTTTCTAGGTGTTATTGTTGGCTAATTTACGATACAAGTTATTATTAATATGTCACCGACATCAACATAAATTTTCACATTCGGACATTTAATCACATTTGGCATTAGTTTGTTTATTTTGTGCGTTAATGGTTTGCGCATTGAGCCAATCAATTGTTGCTATTTTAAAGGTAATTTTATTAGGGACAAATGCGTCAGCAGGCAGCAAACACAGCACAGTGGAACAATGTTGTTTGCTAGCGTAATGTTTATTTAACTTATGGTGAGCGCTTAAGTAGCATTTCTTGTTGAAGGACTTCCATTGCGAAGAAATTGTGAAATTTTAAATTAAAACGCATGCAAGTGAAGGTTGTCAAAATAAGTGGAAAACATTAAATGCGCAAATGACGTGCAAGTGATGATGGTTTGTGGTTGATACTAATAAGCCACACTGAAGAAATAATCACGTGGTATTTGCAGTTGACAGGCAAATTACTTTCCGAAAAACACTAAGAAGATTATGCATTCGACAAGAGTTGGGTTTGGCGTTGAAAGCGAATTTTAAAATTGATATCTAATTGCTGACGAATAATAGTCACAGATTTTTAATTTTGTTAAAGTCAAGATGTTTTAAAATTAAAAAACGGACACTTTGTCTACCGACTAGATCTGTATGGTCGGCTGGATACGGTGCTTTCTAGTCGCTTTCCAGGACGCAATTAGCGCGTTGTTGCGCCATTTTGATGCCCTTCTCGCGGGGAATATTTCGTCTATGCTCATTCTATGTTGCTAGATCGAACCATTTCGATTCTCTAATGAATCTACCGATTAGCTTAATCGGTACGGTAGCTCCTGATAGGTCGATTAGTTTTTCCAACATGTGTTTTCCTGATATTTTGTGTCTAATATTCGAAAGCCCGGAACATTCACAAAGAAAATGCTGGACACTTTCTTCGTCATCGTCTAGTTGACAGTTGCGGAAAATCATATTATGGGATAGACCTATTTTTGCCTATGGGCGGCGCCGTGATGGTTTCATCCAAACCATTTCCTGCCTTCGCCAGTTTGTCCGCCTTCTCATCGCCTTCTATGTTCCTATATACATATGCCGGGGAATCCAGACTAGAGAGACGGTAGTTGGCTGAGACACTGAGCTCAAACCGCAAAACGCAAAACGCTATTCTTGTATCCGACTCTATCGCCAGGCATTTAAAAGGCTTCTAGCATCGCTAGAACTTCGACATGGAAGATGCTTGTATGATTTCCCAATCGCAGAGGCAGGGCAACACCGAGTTCCTCGTAGTAGACTCCCACTTCCACACCGCAATCCATATTGAATTCGTCGGCGTAAAGCGAGATCGCCTCTCTGACGGCTACTGGGTCTCTTCTCCAGTCCTTTATGGATGGGAATAACACTTGCACGTTACAGCTGAACTGCAATTGGCCTACTATATACTCTGTGGTCCTACATATTTGATTTATGACCAACCCATGTCCGAATTGGTCTGAATGTAAGTTTTTTTGCGGTAGATGAAATATTAATTAGGGTTCACGGGTTTTATGATTCGAAATATCTCCAAGCCACAATTACTTTCAGTAATATACTCGTACGTATGTATGTGCAATACAAATATAAATATATACATCCCATCTCTAATTCACAATTAAAAATATTTAAAATAATTGTTACTTAAGTAAATAATTATTAAAATAAAGTATTTATTAATTTATCACTCTCTTTTATCTATGCGTTTTTCAATACATATTTTTCTACATTAAAATAACTTAATTATTGCATTCTCTCATATTGCAGGCGATTTTATTTTATACTCCAAGATGGCTGTGGAAATCTTGGGAAGGTGGCAAAATTCATGCACTTATCATGGACTTAGATATAGGAATTTGTTCCGAAGCCGAGAAAAAACAAAAAAAGAAATTACTATTAGATTACTTATGGGAAAATCTAAGGTAAGTGTGAAATTTTGTATATGTATGTGTGTATGTATGAGGCTATGAGCACCAGTATATCCTACCAGAACCGACCGGGTAAATACCCCAGGCAGCATCAGGCTATTTATTACCCAACTGCCCAACGTTCCAGGCGAGTCTTAAATCGCTTTACATCAACTTTTAAACAAGTTTGTCCGGAAGACTTAGGTCTGTGGCACCTTCTGTGCGAACAATTTTTTTTCAACAATGAAATTAAATAAATCTCGCCTTAAAACTCGTATCTACGACAAAAGATTGGGTAGTTCAATGCATCTAGCCTCCCAACAAGTTCCAAACTGTTTCCGAACTGACCCCCAACTAGTTCCGAAGTAAACCCGAAATGGTTACGAACTAGCCCCGAAATGGTCCTGAACAGGCCCTGTCCTTTTAGACTTAAACAAATTGTTCGCACTCATAATTACTATCAATAGACTTTTATAATATAAGTCTCAAAATAAGACCCTTTGAAGATTTGAGTATATTTATCTCAATGGCTTTTTTTAATATAAGTCTCAAAATAAAAGTATTTGAAGACTTAAAAATATTTATCTCGCTGATAATTGTTAAGAGAAGATTTTTACTATAAAAGTCTTAAAATAACAGTTATCGATGACTAAAAAAAATTTTCTCACACATAATTATTATCAAAAGGCTTTTATAATTCTTTCGAAAATTTTGATGAATTTTCAATACTCCACCATGAAATAAATAATTATTATTCTAGGTCTCTGCTTATTACACTATGTTGACTTAGCTCCTTGTAGTTAGGCATAACTAGATTAAAAAGTTGCTTATTCAGAACTGGGCGATTATTTGAATTTACCAACAATATTTTAATTGCCTGAACCTAATTTTTTATTAGTTTATCCTTAGTTATTTTCAACAAGATTTTAAGTTTGTTTGCATTTTTATTTGCTAAGCTTTGGCAATGGTTAAATACTGCTCAAATATATTCATGTGTATTAGCGGGAAAATATTTTTATCTAAAAAAAAAGAACACATCAGGTATGAGTTTACAAAAAGTTTATTAGCACTTTAGAAAAATCAATTCTTTATTGCGCGCGTACTCTCATACATACACAAAAACCCTGTTGTTACTTTTTAATAATTATAAATATTTGTTATATAGACATATGTATATACATAAGTAGGTGTGTAGTTTAAAAAAAAACTGGCCTCTAATATGTTTACTTTATTTACTTTTTTAATTAGGTATCACAACTGGTGGGCTTACAGATACTACGTGTGCGAATTATTGGCACTCATAAATGTGATAGGTAAGTAAATAGAAATTCTAAAAATATAATGATATTCACTGTGAATTCCAATTGCTTAATTAAGTACTAATTCCATAAAATGCTGATATTCGTTGAAGTGAGAAATACCAAACTTGCTATGTGGTCCACTCAAGG